TAGGGGCTTGCTTAGGGCACATAAAAATATGTTACTGCTGTACACTATTATTGTAGGGGCTTGCTTAGGGCACATAAAATATGTTACTGCTGTACAATTTTATTGTAGGGGCTTGCTTAGGGCACATAAAAATATGTTACTGCTGTACACTATTATTGTAGGGGCTTGCTTTGGGCACATAAAAATATGTTACTGCTGTAAACTATTATTGTAGGGGCTTGCTTAGGTCTTTCAAAAATATGATTCGTCGTTCGCTGTTGGTGGCTTGCTAAGGACACACACAAAGATGTTAGTTTGTCTTCCAAGGCATACAAACAGGTTAACTAGACTTGTATAAAGTCAAACATTGTTCGGACTTGTTGTTTCACACCGACTGAAAGATAACTAATATATTGACTTCATAAAAATGCTTTGTTCCTCAAACATCTAAGAATTACGTTGAATGATACTACAATGTTGCAGGGAGTATTGTCGATGAGTTTTATTCAATAAATAGACTATATGAAGTAGTGATAACTCGTCTTATTTAAACCCTGATCAAGGGCATTTAGGTCAAACCATATTTGTCCCCGTTTCCTCCAATACAATTAAGCAGTATCAACTGCTTATGCGCCATTTCTGAAGTTTTTAAAACTAAGAAATTCTTGTAGGTGTATTGTGTATACTCATTGTAAGTTCAAATAGCGTTATACATCTCTTTCTCTCTACACTGGTATATGTTGTCCTTGTTATGAAAATGTCTCGCTAAATGCCATAACGCTAATATATCATAAAGGCAAATTCCAAAACTCTAAATGTCATAGCTTTAAAGAGTTTAGCGCTAAAAGCTACAGAGCTAAATCCCAGAGAGACGAATTTCGTATGAATAAATGTCATAACGCTAAATGCCATAAAGCTAAATTCCGTAAAGAACAATGACACAAACTTAAATGCCGTGGCGCTAAATGCCACAAATCTAATTTTAGAACAAGCCAGTGTGGGTTGTGAGTGCGAATAGGGGAGAGGGAAGGTAGTTGAAGGGAGGTAAACGCCGTGATTGTGTGTAACCAAATTATCTCCAGAATCAACTACGTTTTGTTTGTTTGTCCATCCCCGGCCCTGTGGCTCTTCTGTGGAATTGGATCTGTGGAGGGCTCAAATTTCTCGTTAGCAGATAATTGTTTTTTTTGTTTAAACATTGAAGGTAACTACAGATGTTGGAAAGATGAGGAATGCCCAGCAGATAATGATACATTGCAAAACATAAATGACAGGTTTAAATCTATTATGAATATATTGTCAGTAGATCATTATATATATATATATATATATATATATATATATATATATATATATATATATATATATATATATATGTATATATAATTTCATAATTTCATCGGAATCGTACATATTTTGTAAATTCTGATTGTGTACATAACATGAGCGACAAAGCAGTTCAACTAGTTCTAAATTTTATTGCTATCTACAAAAACCGGAACAATGCATATATTAATAGTATTTTATTGTGTTTAAGTTATGTGTTGAGAAAATTATGATGGCATGTTATACATCCACAATATCGTGATTTTTGCTTCTAAATTTGTTTTTTTAAAGTTTGAAAGGAACTCACTTTCAAAAACTAACAAATAAAAAAGTAATCAGAGTTTTTAACTAATTAGATAAAATGGCAAATGTTTTGTTCCATGCAGCTTTTCTTCAAAATCAGTTATGATTTTTTAATCTTTAAGCGAACACGACACAGCATACAATATTAAACAGCTTATGATATTCATGACTTGGGCCAAAACTTCAGTCCTAACAAAAAAATATTCCTTACAATATCGTTAGCAGAATGAGAATTTTAAACTATGAGTTTTTTTTAAAGGTTTCTTTTTAACTTTGCACCTAACAAGAAAGAGAATCGTAGCATAGCATGTGTTGATATTTCACATACACAAGCGCAGGATATAAATATTATAAAAAAAAGACCGAATAATTTTCTCAGCTTATGGTGATAATCGTACAGGATTTGTTTTCAGACAGTAAAACGTGTTGTTGTTTTTTTTAAACTGTTGATGATCACGAATGGAGCTCTACATTGTGTGTACCTGCTGTTTCTCAAGGTCTACATTCAGAACTTCTACTGTTCTAAATGTTAACATTTTGTATGCCTGCTGTTTCTCAATGTCTACATTCATAACTAAAACGGTCAATAATGTTAACATGTAGTATGCCTGCTGTTTCTCAATGTCTACATTCATAACTAAAACGGTCAATAATGTTAACATTTAGTATGCCTGATGTCTATCAAGGTTTAAATTTAAGCATGCCTGCTATTTAGCGATAAGTGTGGTGGAATAATTGCTTGAAGTTTTATGTAACAAGTACGTTTTTCACCATCATGTTCAGCAGTTTTTTGTTCAAAAGCAGTATCCTATGCGGTTACATCAAGAGAAGTTTTTTTGTTTTACTATTCAATAGAGATAAACAAAATTGATCTACTTTTGAGCTTGCTATCAGGATTTTAAGCTGATCATCAACTTTGTAACTTGCTCAATTGAAAATCAATAATGAAAATATAAAATGTTTTCTACTTTGAAAAAGCAAACTTGCTTTTAAATATTCTCAGTTTTATTGTACGCCAAGGAATTTTCACTGCTATGGTACAGAAACGTATTAACCGTCGAGGATATATATATATACTAGCCGTCCCGGCCAGGCCCTGCTCTGGCTTCTGTGAAAAACCTTTCTGTTAAAGACCATTACCTGTGTGTTTAGTAATCATCATAAACCCGGCATTGCCCACCCAAACCACAACCAACCAAAACAACAAAACGCAAACATAACGCTAACACAATTACAAATACAAACGAAAACAAAAACCTAACAACAAACCCAACCACAACCACAAACACCAATACAAACACAAAGAAAAAACAAACAAAAAAGCAAACGAAAACAAAAACCTAACAACAAACCCAACCACAAACACCAATACCAACAAAACAAAAAAACGAAAAAGCAAACGAAAACAAACCAAATCCAAACGCAAAAGCAACCAAAAACACAAATACAAACCCAAACAAAAAAACACAAACAAAAACGAAAAAAGAAAGAACAAAAACGAACCAAATCAAAACGCAACCACTAACGCAAACCCACCTAAACACAAAGAAAACACTAACGCGAACATAAACGCCCGGGGCGGAATCACCTGTTTTAGCTTAATGAACGACTATAGTACCCCAACTTATTCATAGTCTTTTGCACTCACTTAAACGAACGCGCCTGTTTCAATTTGATGAACAATTATAATACTCCAAGCTTATCCGTAAAATACCAACAACATTTGCACTTGATCAATCCCCGCTAATTATGTAATTATTTTTTTTCCCAACACCAAAACAAAGTAATTAAATTTAAAAAGTAAATTCTTTTTCACAAAATGCAATGGTTTTATAAAGGGAAGTAATTGTGTTTTCCTAATTTATCAAAGGGAAGTAAGTGCTATAGGACAAAATAAAGACATAATTAGAATTGTTGTAAAAGATGATATTTTTTTAAAACTTGTGTTTAATGAACATGCCGACAATTATTACTTTAATTTGAAAAATGAAAATTATTTCCCAACACTTTCAATAGTAATTTTTTAGCTCATAAATTTAGACAAATGCGCACGGTAATTTTCTAACACTTAAATTCATCCAAGACCAACGACAAACATATGCGTTACATACAGAACTGAGCTTTATATATTAGATATATATATATATATATATGTATATATATATATATATATATATATATATATATATATATATATATATATATATATATATATATATATATATATATATACATATATATATATATACATATATATATACGTATATATATATATACGTATATATATATATATGTATATATATGTATATATATGTATATATATGTATATATATGTATATATATGTATATATATATATATGTATATATATGTATATATATGTATATATGTATATATATGTATATATATATATATATATATGTATATATATATATATATATATATATATATATATATATATATATATATATATATATATATATATGATTTATGTTCATATTTATATAAAAATAAGTAATATGTAATATGTATGTATGTAATTTTATGTTTGTTTCATATAATCATATTGTTTAAACAATGTAAAACATAAGCTACTAAACTGTTAGTAGCATAGGATGGCAACTAGACTGACCTCTCTCATGATGACTTAAAAGCCGTCTCATATCAAGTCCAATTTTCAATAACAAAATAAAAACATTTTATATAAAGCCCTATAGAATTACTTAAAAGAATCGTTGTTTTTGTAGTCATGGGAACTGCACTGATGACGTCAGATCCTGTTAAGGTATTTATGTAATCTCTAATTAGTAACATGCCTTTAATTAAATAATCCTAAACGAAGGTATGTTAATCAGCGTGCACATGTGAAAAATAAAGACAAGCACACGAGAGGCGTGTAGTTATTAAAATAGTTTATTAGTGGTCATTCAGTGAGTAAACAACACAGGTTAAAGGACAGAGGTCAACTCACCAACCGACACGGTTGGCTGAAGCTGGAGAGTAACAAACGTGATCACGTGGTCTGCAAGAGGTGTCACGGAGCTCAGTTTTAAATGATGGGCACATACATTTAGTTTTTTTTTTAAACGATAAAAATGTTTTTTTTTTAAACGATAGAAATTTAATGCTTGAATGATCTACTAATATCTTCTATAGTCAGTACAAGAATAAATATGTTACAATGCAAATATATTCTTGAATTCGCATGAATTTCTTGCAAAATAAATTACATGACATCTGAACTGTTTATATATATATATATATATATATATATATATATATATATATATATATGTATATATATATATATATATATATGTATATATATATATATATATATATATATATATATATATATATATATATATGTATATATATATGTATATGTATATGTATATATATACGCCGTTAGTGTGATCACTAATGGTTAAACATATTTTGTGTTATTAAACATCTTTCTTGTAGCTTTTTAAATGTTTAAGTGTTAAAATGTTTAGATTTTCCTTCAGTCGTCAAATGGGTTTAAAAATTATTTATTTAGGTTGTCAAATATCCAGTGGATTATTATATTAGAGGTTTCAAGTTCTTGTGAGGAAACGTCAATTCCATACACTTGCTGATAATATCATTTTGGCTGGAGTTATCTTATCCTGGATTAAGTGTGTATCAAATCATTCATAATTTAACCATTTGATAATTATTGTCTGCGTGATAAACAAAAATATGTTCTGTCTTTTAGAATGGTCATCTTGCTTTTGAACTATATTTAACTACTAGCTAATTACTGTGATCACAATAATGGCGTCTATAATTTACATGCTCATTAATGTTCAGCTTATTGACATCTTATTAATTAGCTCAGGTCATTAACAGTTTAATTACACATGACAACTCATTATAAACATACCAAGTTATGTACACACATTTAAGGGAAATCAGATTGTATGTCATAATTCATACATTGTATATAGGATAACATAAACACATACACACACACAAACTTACATGCAACCAATCTATATGCATTCAACACTTCAAGGTAAATACAAAATGTATGTTACATAAGCGATATTAGTTCAGGTATATCAAATACACATACAATGGCGCAGTATGGATTATTTGTAAATCTTAATATGTATAATGTTAGTATGTGCGTGTGAGAGTAGGCCTACGTGTTTGTGTTTTTACATTCTAGCAAGGATATGTGTATGTACGTGTATGTGTGGACCTAGATGTACGTATCTAAATATGTATGTATATCCTAGCCACAATGAAGCACATACGTGAAGCCACACTGCGCCATTTGACAAGATCCCATGCACAGCCAAACTACACATGCTAGATGTAGGTCAAACACCTCACAGAGACGTTGAGTACCGATACTACGTTGGTAGTGAGTACAGCCCCAATACAAAAAACACACACAAACACAGCCAAGGCCTCTGACAATATTTTTTTGTTTCGTTTTCAAAACAGATGTATTGAGACGTGGACAGTGAAGATAAACTCATGACTAGCTACTGCATTGGTTGGATGGTGATTCAACTGGCACCAAAATATATGGCGTATAGACGTGTGAAGAAAAAAAAATAATGCCATTTCTCGTGGTCGATCGTTGCCATGGGAACGTGTTTCTTTTTTTACTTGGCTTATATTACACATTTCTTCATCTACGGAATGTTTCGAGTTTAATATACAAAAAAAAATATTAAAATGTAATTATAAATTCGACCCCAACTAATATAAATTATATTTTTCATTCTTTATACTGAAAAAAAATGAATTTAAAAAATATATAATTGAATTATAATTATTTCTCAAATTTACAGTTACGTCAAGGAAATTAGATTTGTCTTCACAAAAAGTGTTTAAAATAAAATAGAATTGTATTTTGTTTTCAAATATTGTTGGAAAACATTATATAGTGTACTCAAGAGAAATGTAAACATACTCCACTCAAATTGGATAAATTATGTTTGATAAATGAAAAATAGTTAAGAGCTGAAATAATTTGATGATGTTTCAAAGTATGTGGAAAGTGTCATGATTTGCTCACATTTTTTTTTAAAATCAATGACAGAAATTAGTGAAAATCTAATAATGTTGTGTAAGTTTACATTTATTGATTAAAAAATTCCGTGAATTTATTGATGTTGTTTTTGTGTGTATATAAATAGATGTATTCATGTGAAAGGGAAATAATCACACTGAATTTCCGTACCGCTGATGTTTATGTGAAAGGGAAGTAATCACACGGACGTTTCCATTCCGCTGATGTTGGAAGCCTGCGATGTGGAGTCAGGCGATCCTAAGAGGTACAAACCTGGGCTGCCCAGCTCCCTCTTGCAGCTGGTGCACACGCTGGGGGTGGGGGAATCATGGCCAGACTCCAGGGAGGTCTGGATATGCAAGGGAGAGTAACCCGTTCTACGGATTAACCCTGACCCACTTTTGGGCAAAGGGTCGGAGCACTCAAGACTGAAGTCTCCGGGACTGACTGTTCGAGATCGGGGAATCGTGGAGTGGCCGGAATCCTGCGAGACTTTTTCTGGAAGCGGGGGGTTTATCCGGGACCTCGAGCTATGGATGAGTTTATCTGGCAGCGATGCTAAAGATCGAGAAGTGGGGATGTGGGTTACCCCCGGGGGGAGTCTGGAATCTCCGCGGTAGGGTGGTGATACCAGGGCTTTCGTTGACGCTTGCGGGATTCGTTGTGGGTAGGGATGAGGCTGCTTGGAATGGTGCACGCTGGGTAAATGATATGCAGAGTCTAGCGAGTAGGACAATGGGGAGGCTAGTGAGGAAAGTTTTTTGCCTGGGCGTGGGTGAGGTAATGGATGAGAGGTGAGATCACTGTATACAGAGTCGTCGGCGGCACAGGGGGATATGTCAGCAGGCAAAGGCGTGAACCCTAGATCAGAACGGTCAATGGTTCCAGAGTATAAAGGTTCTCCGTTTAGAGAAGGGTCGTTGATTTTCGGGGTCAGCCCAGCGTAGTAGTTTTGCGGAGCTGGCGCTGACAGCTGCTGAGCTGATCCTGAGGGTGTGAGGTGCTTCCGCTTCTGGTGCGGGAGGAGCCGCCTCTGTTGCCCGGAGGAAGGCTTGTTGTAGAAGATGCTCTCAGCCGTGTCGCCCAGCTGCAGGCTACACTGGGAGCTGCCTTCCAGCTTCCCGGAGATCAGGTCAGAGGACATTGCCAGAGACTCGGTGCTAGAGGCACAGGATGTGTGCGTGACGAGACGCAGGTCCTCTCTGGTGCCGACGTGGGGGACGAACCCTCGCCCCGACACCGCGGGGGAGATCTTCCCTCTGTCCGGCGCTGCTTCAACAGGGCTGCCCAGTTTCCTAGCACTGCTGCTGATCTCGAAATCGCTGTAAATGTTAGTAGGTCTGTTAAGGTCAAGGTTAGTCGGGCGTAGATCGTGCGGGCGGGGGAGCATGCAGTTATGGGATTGAAAACCGGACGAGGTGTTGGTGTAGAACTCACCCCCACACAACTCCATGTTTTCAGTGGCATGCGCCCGGGTCAAGGACATAGTTTGACCTTGCGACCCCGCCATGATATCTAGACTAGGCTCGAGGTGTTTGTGGTCTAGGATGGCGGGCTGGTCATCGCAGTTAAAACATTTTGGCAGCAGGCGATGCAAGCGTTTGTAACGTCTGTTAGTCTTTAAGGGCACCGTGCGGGTGATGTCATGCGTCTGTGGACCTACTTTCTGCCGGGTGAAAGCCGGCCGGGTTGGTACGTTCCCCGGGGTGGTGGGGGTCACGGGGGTCGTCGTCGCCAGGTTCGTCGTGGCCGTGCTGACCGACGAGGGGACAGGGGTCGAGGTCGGGGTCATGGCATCAATGTCTGGAATGTCATCTGGGTCGGAGGAAAACGGGGGCGAGAGACTGTGATGGGAGTTGCGGACGGGGGCGGTGCCGAGCGTCTTCTCCATCACCGTCCCGTCCTCTGAGTCCTGAAGGGTGATCTGCTTGTACAGGTTCTCACTGCGCGAGCTCCCGTTGCCTGATCCGATGTTGCCCTTGCCGTTACCATGCACCGACCTGACGCTGTGAATTGTCCCGGTTGTCGAACCTTCCCTCGAGTTCTCCCCCTTTCTCCTAGGCCGTGGACCAGTGCGGAAAAGCTCGCTATTGAGAGTGGGAAATGGGGGGAAAAGAATGGAGTGACAAAGATAAGAGATAAAAAAAACACACTATATACAATTTCTAAATCAAACATTGAATATTTAAAACAAACACGACAGATCAGCGAAAATGCAGGACAACACTAAAAAAAAAAACGATCACTAATGGCGATTTTCAAAGCGTCCATGAATCACACGCCACACAGCCGAGATAGGAAATTCAATTTTACTGATTGGAATACCGGGAAACGGAAATAAAAACTTGTGAAAATAAAATGGAAAGCAATTCTAAAACTCAATATCAAAAAAATAAAATAATAATAAAAATAATTACCTTTGTTTAGTTGTTTGCATTTTACGCGGGAAGAATAAAAATAGAAATTTGATATTTTTACAGTAATTGTATTATATCGCAATAACTAAAAAAATTCAAAATGTTTCGTTTTTTTTTTAAAAATTCGTTGCAGGGAGATAGATCCTTATTTTTTATTTTATTTTAACATTGGCAAGTTCAAACTGATCACTTCGCCCAAATGTAAACATAAAGATCGTTAATTAGCAATGCGCATGTTTCTATTCGGTGTGGCGTTTAACAAGCTGAACGTAGACTCGATAATTAACATCTCAAGAAAGCTCATTACGTAATCCTGGAGAAAAGGGTCCGAGGCGTGACATCACTTTACACTTGTCGTTGTAAAAAAAAAAAACCCTCAGACGCCCTGAGTTGCATGAATACAACAGCAACGAATTTTACACCCAGGGGCCATTATTTCAGGTGTTTGCCAAGCTCTCTTTTGTTTTTTTTTTTAAAACATAACTGGCTTCAATATAAACCTTGCCATGAGAGCTGAATAAAATAACCGTTGTTGATCTTTTCAAACTGTTGTTTATTCAGCACTCTGATCCATCTTTAATAACCCCCCCCCCCCATTAAGATCAAGCACTTCATCTTTGACATACTGAGCCGGTTCAGTCAAAACTCTTTTCATAAAACAATATTTAGGTCATATCTATAGCTACATGAGATCTGATATTTAGACAATACCTTGTAGTAATTTACAATCTTATGTAAAAGCTAAATCTTATAATACGTGATAAAAAACATGTGATGGAGGTTTTATATTGCATCTCGTCTGTGAAAGCAAAATCTAATAAGTCTAATCCTTGCACTGCGAAGGAAGTTTTGTATAACAGGAATTTTAAAAAAAAAACCGCCATTACCAAAAGACCTTATAATAACATTTTATAAGTCTAATACTTTGTACTGCGGTAGAAAATGTGTAGGATGATATATTAAAATTCGCCAATACCAAAAGACATACTAATATCTTATAATTCGAATACTTTGTATTGTGATAGAAGATTTGTATCACAACACTTTAAAAATCGCCATTGCCAAAAGACCTTATAGCACAAGACCAGACAAAAAAAACAAAACATCATCTAAATAAAGCGACAGATACAGATATGAAACATTTAAATATGTCATGCAAATAATGAAAATCTTAGCCCATCCACCGCCACCCCACCTCACACACAATGGGTACTCTATTTGAATGTTTTCTTGACATGAACTAACACCGATCTTCACCCCCACCCCACCCTCCAGTCGCCACACAGGCTTAACCCAAAATTTAGGTAATATAAAATTCCATCTATACCCAAACTCCCTATTTAAAAAATAACCCGCCAATCTAGTTTAAATTTTAAATTAGCAAGTTTTTCACCTCTACGTTCTAAAACAACACAAAAGATATTCTACATCGCATTTCTTTCCCCTACCTCCGCCATCCCCTACCCACGTAGCAGAGCTGAGAGCCCCCACCTCCCCTTCAAGTTCACTGACGTCATTTATGGACAACCCACTAATGATTTCCGTTCATTATTTTTCCCCTGTTTTTTGTTAGTGCGTTGAAATAGCGTTCTATATTCACAATGCTCTCTGAGTAAACACCCCTACGACCATTTCTTCAGTCCAAACACTAACCTGACCCTAACTCCTTTCCCGAACCCTATATCTTAAAAACATACACCAAGAAAATTGCCGTCTTGAACCTATAGCATCAAATATTATATTTAACCTTACACAATAGCCAAGGGTTATAAATAGCCACACAGCTGTGACGAAAGAAGCGGATGTACGAGGAAGCACGTACGTCACAGAACTAACTCTCTAAAACGGAGAGTGGAACAGCCAGAGAATCTGGGAAACAAATCCCTTACCACATGTTGTACAGCGCGGCCGTCACGGCGATCACAAATACCGTCCCCACGACAATGACGGCGTACATCCATATATTGGGGGTCTTGGCTGTAGATGGGGGTGGGGGTCAGGGGGGTAGGGAGGGCGGGAGAGAAGATAAAAAAAAAACTTGAATTCATACATAAAATTGAGTTATTTTTGGCGTGTGATAAATCAGTCAAAAACAAAACAACTTGGACATGTGTGTGAATGTGCGTGTGTGTGTGTGTGTTTGTCATTAAAAGAGGAAGAAATAATTTGAAATGCAAAGAAGATAAAAAAAATGTGTGTGACACAATTTTTTTTATATTGGTTATACATTTTTTTATATTTCTTACATGTTGATGTACTTTGGTTATACAGTTTTGTAGTTTGTTTTTAAAGATCTTTTATCTGTTCATGTAAAAACATTGCTAACAATATTTTTGTATTTAAAGAATAAAAAAATAAATTACTACTGTAAAAATTGCCTCTTTCATTTTCATATCACATGAACCGTGTAATCAGTTAAGTATATTGTACATCTATACACCCCATTAAGGATATGACCACCCCTCAGTAACCACCCCTCTGTACAGGGGAGTATAATATGATGTATATCATTCTTCTTCACTAACTTTTCATTCACACTCTCATACCCATCCAGATTAACATGCAAGGTTCATTTTGTAAAACCTGTCCATAATATCATCAAACAGTCACTTAAATATTCCTGGGTTGCCATAACATATTTTCATTACATATTTCTATTGCAAATTCCCATTACACATTTCGATCAGACATTTCTATTACTCACTTCATTACACATTTCCATTACATGTTTCCATTAAACGCGTTCCACTACATAATTCCATTGCAAACTTCCATTACAAATTTCGATCACATAATACATACTTCCATTACACACTTCCATTACATATTTCCATTATACACTTCCAATGCATATTTTCATTACACATCGCAATCACGCATTGATATAACCCACTACCATTGGACACTTTCATTACACTCTTCATTTACAATCTTCCATTACACTTTTCCATTACACTTTACAGATATCTTCACACCTCTTCAACCCCCTATCACCCCACACACCACCACCCCTCACCCCACACACCACCACCCCTTATCCCTCACACATCACCACCCCAACCACCCTTCACACCCCACACCCCACACACTACCTTCCCAACCACCCCTCACACCCCACACATCACCACCCCAACCACCCCAACCACCACACCCCACCCACATACCATCACCTCCAACTAACCCTCACCCCACACACATCACCACCCCTACCACCCCACACACATCACCACCTAAACCACCCTACACACATCACCACCTAAACCCCCCCACACACATCACCACCTAAACCCCCCACACACATCACCACCCCTACCACCCCACACACATCACCACCTAAACCCCCCACACACATCACCACCCCTACCACCCCACACACATAACCACCTAAACCACCCCACACACATCACCACCCTAACCACCCCACACACATCACCACCCCAACCACCCCACACACATCACCACCTAAACCACCCCACACACATCACCACCCCAACCACCCCACACACATCACCACCTAAACCACCCCACACACATCACCACCCTCAACCATCCCACACACACCACCACACACACACACACCACCCCAACCACCCCCACCCATTTACTCACCCACTTCCGCCTTGGCCCCCGTGTTGCTGTCGATGATCCCAGATGTGTTCATGATGCACGTGTGGTGTGTCGCGTTGATCACGTGGTACAGGTACTTCAAGCTGTCAGGACACACGCACAAGTTCGTGTCATTACACACAGCCGGCGGGACACACACCGGGTTGGTACACAGCAACCTGTCAGAGGGTCGGATACTGTCGTCACAACCCCCTGGAGTAGAGAGGAGAAATCAACACAGATATTATAAGATGTTTGACAGATCAGTATCAGTTTCTGCTACAGAACAGTGGTAGAATAAAGGTGGTCGTGAGGCATATGCATGTGCATATATAGCCTATATATATATATATATATATATATATATATATATATATATATATATATATATATATATATATATATATATATATATATATATATATATATATATATATATATATATATGTAACTAGGGTAGGCCTAGCTACTAGTTACAAATCTGATAACGAACGATAAGCCGAGACGCAGTATTACAGTCTGATGCAACCGATAGCAGGTGGCTTATTAGATCGGACTGATAACAATCTCAAAGCCAACGCGTGCTATTTTGGGAAACGGTACGAGGGGATTCAGACGGCCTGTCAACTTTGATTGATAGGACGCAGATGTTTTATTAAACGGACTGTGCGTTAGAACTGCGCAACTAGTAGTCGGAGACATCGAGTACAAGTATCGATTACGGAGGAATACAAGTACGAATACGAGTACGAATACAAGGGATAAATAGGAGGGGACGACTGAACTCGCGGCTCTTCCCCCTTTTCGATCGCTCGCTCTCTTCATCGCTCGCTTTAGATCAGTCAGTCTGTGTGACATATCAAGTTGGTTATATTGTGTTAAGAAGGACAATAGACATGTGGATTCAGTTATATGAAGCCTAGTGAGGACTGTTAGGGGTCAGTTGATTCAGACTATTATTGTGAAGCATTCCTGTTGATTCATTGTGTTATATTGAAGCATTTCTTGATTCATGTAATAAAAGGATCAATAGCGAACCTGCATCTTCGAGTCTTTCTACTGTAGTCGATGTTGTGTAGCATGAGTGGTTAAACTCGTTACATTTGGCACTACAGGCAAATAGTCTCGTAACATGTGGCGTTGCGAGCAGGGTAACTGTTCGCTCGTTACAATTGGCGTCGTCGGACAGGATGAATTCAACTAGACTTGCCGCTTTAGGCACCCATAGTCAACCTTGTGCATAACTGTGTTTAGTGTGTGTGTGAATTCGGACATTCAGGAACTGTGAAAATTGAGGAACGAGGAAATTTTTTTCATACACACACGGTAAGAAAGAACTCTTTTGTTTTACTTACGGAATACAATGTCTACTCTGGACGAGAAGCAGACCCATATAGTGGTCCTACCCAGAGAGTCCCACATTAACAAATTTTACGGGGACGGTGATCCAGCTTTAACCAACAGGTTCAGTGAAGAGGTCAAAGCGGCCTGGGCCTCGAGAGGCATGTCACCAGAGGACAGATTAAGACTGCTGATGGGCAGTATAGGAGAGACGGTTAGGGCAGAGGTCAAATGCCATGATAAAACCATCCAATCAGATCCGGATAAGGTGCTGGATCTGATTATGGAGACCTTTGGGGAGAGACGGTCGGGATCGCAACTGCTAGCAGGGTTCGTAGGCTTAAGGCAGAGAATGGCGGAGAGTGTGATGGAGTACTCACACCGGATGAACAGGGCCTTTGATTCGGTAAAGGTCAAAACACCTGACATTGATGTGCGCCTACTGAGGGACCATTTCATCGAGGGGCTAGCAACCCCGATCCTAAGAAGAGAGTTGAAAGAGGAGGTCCACAAAGACCCGCAGTTGACCTTCCTTCAGGTCAGGAACTCAGCGATCCGCAGGTCCGAGGATGAGGACCAATCGAACTGTTCGGTGGACAAAGTCTCTGTGCCTGAACAGAGACAATCCCCACCCACAGGGGCCGACACGATGGAGACCATGATGGCTCAACTGTTGGCCCACCTAGATAAGGTTGACCAACGTTTGGAGAGGTTAGAAAGCAGGTCAACAGCTGAGAATCAGGAAAAGAACGGGACAAAACAGAGACGGGTTGGACGGCCGCGTCCTGCCAAGCCATCACTCCAATGGACGGCCGACGGTCGACCAATTTGCTTGTCCTGTTCACAACCCGGACACATGGCACGGTACTGCCAGGGAAACGGTCGTCCTCTGTAAGGCAGGGTCAGGCTACAGAGGGGCGAGGTTATGGCCCAAGAAACAAAATGATGGGAGTCTGTCCCGAAATGGTGATTACGATTGGGGACATCGCGGTGAAGGCAATTGTGGATACAGGCTCCCAGGTGACGACAATCACGGAAAATTTTTACACCAAATGGATGAAAGGAAAAGACCATAGGTTAAGGTTTGACACGTGCATGCGCCTGACGGCAGCGAATGGACTAACCATTCCATACTGTGGTTATTTTCTGGCGGATGTCGTGGTGGCAGGACATAGGTTGAAGCAGGTTGGGGTGTTCGTTACGAAACACAACCTAGAGACAAATGTGTCAAATATACCTTGCCTATTGGGCATGAATATTCTTGGCCAGTTGCCAGAATTTCTTACAAATATTGTCGGATCGACCACACCAGGTCGGGGACCCAGGTTGGCCAGGTTTGCCAAGACCAGAGGAAGGACAGCAGTCCCGGCAAACACGGTCAAGGCAATCACATTACAAATTGGTGATAGAAGCGTGAATGGTGATGTGATGATAGAACCATGTGGCGCCGCACTGAGGGCAGGCGTCGTGTTACTGCGGACATACACATCAGCGGAAAACGGACTAGTTCAAGGGTTGGTAGCTAATGTTTTGGATGAGGAAATTTTTATACCGCCTAATACTCTGGTAGGAGTACCACAGAACGTCGAGGTACTAAGGTCGGCACAGTGCATCGAACTGAGCAATACCAGCAGTAATGAAGTAACAATTAGGTCGGTCAATGTGACGGCCGAGGTGAAGAAAGAGGATGGCCGATCATATACATTCCCGGAAACTGAGGACCCAAAACTAAATGAATTGCTGAATAAATACAGTGATATATTTGCCTCGTATGAGGGTGATTTGGGGTACACGGAAGTAATAAAACACCAGATACCCTTACTACAAGACAAGCCGGTGGCGCAACCCTACCGAAGATTACCACCAAGTCACTACTCGGCGGTGAAAGCACACCTGAATGATCTACTAAAGAAGGGAATTATTACAACCAGCACTAGCCCGTATGCGGCACCGATAGTAGTGGTAAAAAAGAAGTCAGGGGAGATAAGACTGTGTTGTGATTACCGGAAATTGAACAATATCACAAGAAGGGATGCATTCCCCTTGCCTCGTATTGATGAATGTCTTGATGCGTTGGGGGGAGCAAGATTTTTTTCTACCTTGGATTTGGCTAGTGGCTACCACCAAGTGGCCATGCACCCCAACGATCAACATAAAACGGCATTTATTTCTCCACTGGGACTGTACGAGTGGACCCGTATGCCGTTTGGTCTAACTAATGCACCTGCTACATTCCAGCGAGTAATGCAGAGTGCTATGAGTGACTTTCTATTTCAAATAATGTTGGTGTACTTGGATGATATTCTAGTTTACTCAAAAACTTGGGAGGACCATCTAAAAAGATTAGAACAAGTGTTTCTCCGTCTTAGGGAGATAGGAGTAAAGCTGAACCCAGACAAATGCTGCTTCGGTCTGAAATCGGTACATTTTTTGGGTTACGTGATTTCGTCGGATGGCATCGCCACTGACCCAGATAAAATTGCAGCTGTTAAAGAATGGAAACAACCAACAACTACGGTAGAGGTCAGATCATTCTTGGGCTTTGCTTCCTATTATAGAAAATTTGTACCTGGTTTTGCAAAAATTGCCGCACCATTGCATGACTTGGTAAACAAAATGACAAAGAAACACAGTAAGGAGAAAAAGAAAGGTAAAACACAACGGATAGGTGAATTATGGACTGATGAATGCCTGAACTCGTTTAAGCTCTTGAAAAAGGCTTTGACAGAGGCGCCGATATTAGGATACGCAGACTTTGACAAACCATTTCGGCCAGAAATTGACGCCAGCTCTAAAGGTCTGGGAGCTGTGCTATCACAACAACAAAAGCAAGGTTTCAGGGTTATTGCGTATGCCAGTCGAGCTCTGAAGGGATCAGAGAAGAACATGACAAATTACAGCGCCATGAAACTAGAACTTTTGACATTAAAATGGGCTGTGACTGAAAAATTCAGGGACTATCTATTAGGGGCTAAATGTGTGGTATACACTGACAATAACCCCCTGAGTCACCTAAAGACAGCAAAGTTGGGATCCATCGAACAGAGATGGGCAGCGGAATTGGCACTCTTTGACCTGGAGATAAAATATCGCCCGGGGCGGTCCAATGGCAATGCGGACGCCTTATCAAGGAATCCTTACGAGAGACCGGGTGATGAGGAAGAAACGCTGACAGGAATATGTGAGGTCAGAGCGTCAACAGATATCCCTCATGGGGTGCAGGTGATGCAAAACGGGCAGACCGGGGTGGAGCACATATCCACAGAGCCCGGACATATGGACAGTAGTGATTTTAATTGCCTTAATCACAAAAAGATAAGAGATGCCCAGAGAACGGATAGTGGCTTACAACCGCTATTGAAATACGTCCAGGAACAAAAATTCCCAGGAAGAAGGGAAAGAGAACAATTTGGTCGAGAAACAAAGAAAATACTGAGTCAGTGGGACCGTCTCAGTATAGAGGATGGTGTTCTCATGCGGAGAATTCATGACCAAATTGATGGGACAATACACCAGGTGGTGGTGCCTGGACAATTACGAGAAGAAGTGCTAAGGTTGGCACATGACAGGGCAGGACACCAGGGTCAGGACAGGACGCACAAAATTTTACGACGGAGGTGTTACTGGCCCAATATGGAAATGGAGGTCAAACGCCATTGTGAGGCTTGTGTGAGGTGTCAGCATGCGAAAATGCCAGTTGTCAAAATGAGACAGCCATCAGGACACCTACTAGCGACAAAACCACTAGAGATTGTGGCTATGGACTTTACGTCGTTGGAGCAATCATCGGATGGGACGGAACATGTGTTGGTAATGACTGATGTTTTCACCAAATGGACTGTGGCGGTGCCCACACGAGATCAGACTGCCAA